GAGCAAGAATGTATTTGGAAAGAGGTCCCTGGCCTTTTCTACATACTGTTAGATAGAAGGTACATTGAAAAATGCTCTAGGCATTTTCTTCAGGGTTGCTGAGCAATGGCAAGAAAGGTAAAAGCAAGTAGCAAACGCTCAGTGCTTTTGGTACTGAGCTGTGTGGTGAAGGTTGAACTGCTTAGAGAGCATTCTCTCCACTCCCTCTTGAGACACTCCTCTGGATCTGCCCCACGCTGCATCTCCACTTGATCTTACAGTTCTGCAACTTTCCCTTTAGGAGAGGTGATACACATCAGGTACTGGAGCTTCGTCATATTCTCTGTTAATCACTGCAAAGTAGAGTTCCTCTGCTTCTGTTTTCATTTACTTCAGCAGGAGTCTGTTGAACTAGCACCAAGTTCAAATCAGCAAGGGAGAAGGCAGCCCCCAGCAATCAATCACGACATGTCATCTAAATTCTTCACAAAATGAACTTAAGAGACTGCCAGTCCTTCAGAAATTTTGTCTTGCAACCTTCAAAACCTACTTCCCAGCAGATACAGTATATGAAAGATAAACCAGGAGAAAAAAAAAAAAAGGTGTTTCACAGCAAGAAACAGCAGATGCGTTAAAAAAGCAAACAATGAAGGCAGGAGGTGAAGGAATTCACATCTTCTTAGCACGCAGCACGCGCAGATAGGGTGCCTGAGCAGCTGAGGTTTCTGCCAAAAGCACATCTGCGAGAGGGACTAGGAGGGAGGGGGAAGGAAGGGCTCCTCTCCAGCCTGTGAGCCAGCTGAATTCAGGCTCACGTCCTCTACAGCACTTACACTGGTTAAAAGACAAAACATCGGTTGCTGAACCTCCATATTTACCTTAGATTTTGTGCAGTACCCACCTCATTTTCTTGCCCAGAGCCCAGCAGCGATGTTACCTTCTATGTTTGCCAAGTCTTCTTCTGAACTGAAATGTTGTTCAAAAACACAGCAATACGTTTCTCGTCCTTGGGTTCAGAGAAGACCCGGCTCAAGCGTTAAGTGGCGGGCAGAGGTGTACCCAGGCAGGCTCTTTACGTTGGCACAAACACAATGCTGAACTTTCACAGCAAGTAGGTAAACACGTGGCTGCACACAGCAGGTAGTCTGGCAGCACCGGCAATAGCGAGGAACAATGTCAGAACAACCTTGGCAAAAGGAGCTCTGTGGGTTTTAACAATGGTTGTGGGCACAGGAGCTGAACAGCCCAAACAGCAGTAAGAGAAAGCCACCTACAGATCCTGCAGGGAGCTCCAAGCGCACAGAGCCTGAGCGTGCCAGCTGCAAGTCTCTGTGCTCCACGCTCACAGGGTTGCTCCACTTGACTTAGCAGTAGCCAGCTACAGCACTTCACAACTTGGGAACACCCAACGGCTGAACTTCACCCAGTAAACATGTATTTCCAGTCCTCAGCAAGGACACTGGTTTGCTGATTGCATGCCAGCGCTCCTATTTAAAGAACTGTTGTTATGGGAAAAAACTGAAACCTTTCTACAGCACAGACAAAGTGGTCCCCGTATCTTGTGCTTTATCTACAGAAATGCATCAGTTCCCAGTATGCGTTTCCACAGCAGAGTTTCACTTACAGCCATAGTAAGATGGGGTTATCTGACTGCAAAACCCACCATACCCCTGGAGCAGGGCTGGATCTTCAGACAGTTCTAGTCTTTTCCTTGAGGGGTACAAGGTTTTATACATGACACAAGCTGCAAGGAGCAGCAGTAGTAAAAGGTGTCCACCTTTATCCTTCACCTCCAAAAATACCTCTCCTAAGCTTTCTCTTAGACATCTCTTCCAGGTTCTCATCACGCAGGGCAGGTTCACGCCCAATGCCCAAGGCTCTTACAGGGGCATTGCCGGGATGCTCATTAGCCTATGCCCACCACTGACGTAGGTCAGACTTCTGCAAAAATTACATTCCCAGAAGACCCTCATACATAGCTTCCTGAATGAGTATCAGTCTCTGCAACTGACATCACAACTCATGAAGCAACAGATAATGAAAGAGAAGGAAAGCAGAACCACTCATATGACACAATCTTAAGACTCTCCCAAACTGAACTGAGATACACAGAACATTCATTTCTATATGAAAATACATCCATTTTACCTTACAGGAAAACCAGTACATTTTTAAGTACATGAAAACCAAATTAGGAGACAGTCTAGAAAATAATAACCATGTGAATGCAGCTGTATTTTTAAATAAAAAAAGCACTTGAAAAAAACACTGGCATCAGGACAGCTAACAACAATATTGTCTTAAATCAGCCACATTATCATTTGGATTGTGATAGCACCTGGAAATCTCTTTCAAGTACCAGAATGACACTGTGATAGGTACAAGCTACACCAAACACAGAGCCTGTGCAGGCACAGGTAGCCCATGCCTTAACACCTCACACAATTCAACTATTGCCATTTAACTGTATCTGTGACACCAAGTACCTTTCTACGTTATGAAATAAGTTTTCATAGCCACCCATTAATTTGGATAAGGGCTATTTTTGCAAAGAAAGAGCTGCAAGATAGTAGCTTATACAGCCTGAATCTTTTGCAGACAGAGAACAGGAGCAGATCTTTGCATCCTCTTTCCTTTGCAAACTCTACAAGGAGATACAAGAACTGCCTGACACTTTAGAAGTAGTCCTGGCAATGATTGTGACAAGATGTACCATGCTGTTACTGATACAGGTTATATATAGTAAACAACAAAACACATTGGAGATGCATGTCAAGGAACCAGCTGTAGGCACTGCTGCTAAAAGTAATTGAGAAATCCTAGTGGAAAACCAGTTACAAATAGAACATACAGACTTTGCACTATCTCAGGTACTGAACTTCTGTAACTCAGATACCACAGTGAGGGTCTGTTAGGACATATTCAAATTACTTAAATGCTTTTGGGTGACTGATAAAACAGTGATCACTAGGTTTTTGGTAGTGTGCTGTACTCCGAGTTAAATTTTATTCACAATTTATATCTATTGCTTTTTACTCTTCCTTTTTATTGGCCATAGATGAGAAACCTCTTTTAAGACTACCAGCAATATGCTAGATAGTTCTTCATCCTCTGAGCTGGGAAACACATTGCCCCAGGATGCTTACAGCTGTTACTATTTTATAGGCATTCCAGGAGAGAAGGACAAATTCACGGTGGATAAATAGATTAAAGATTTTAAAATACAAAGACACCACTTCTACCAGAAGTAGAACTGAAAGCACAAGTCATTGAAGATGAAAGAGCATTCTGGAGAGTATCATGATGGGTCTGATCTATTCTTATGCCCTTCTGTAGCCATCCACTGTCAGCCACCACCCAAATTATAAGGTTAACCTGGAGTTACATTTGATTTGACTCAGACAAACCTTTAAAAGAGTCACTGTAGACATCACGGGAACTGTCACAGTAGCCACTCCCTTCTGGCATAGTTAATAGACATTAATGGCTCCACAGGGCTGTTTTTATCACTTTGCAGAGCCCTGCCATTTAGAGATGTCAGGTGAAATGAATCCATCGGAGAGCTCCCTTAATACACTACTGTTGCATGAAGACTACCACTCAGGGCCACAGAGTACCTTTAGCATGTACACCCAATTCAAGTCATACAAACAAGACCCACAGCAATGGAGACTTCCTACTCACCACCTCAAGCAGAGAACCATTTCATAGCGAATACAGTACTAACCTAGCATTTCTCCCCACTTTCTTCTACCTTTTCAAATTCACTTTATCCTTAAGACAAACAAACAAAAAACCCCCCAAAAAAACACAAAGAGACTTCTAGTGACATTTCCTTAAGAGTGACATTTGTCTTGTTCCTCTGCAGAGGCACTCTCTATTCTTCTAAAAGCAATGCCATATAGTTTGGGGAAATCAAGCCTTGGCCACTATCCTGGCTCTCCTCATTTAAAAATTACAAGTTGTCCCCCTTCCTCAATTGACATCCCTCCAGAGGGTGCACACCTTCAGAGCAGGCCTTCTGTAAGAGCACATTCCAGAGGTGAAACAATGGTGGTTGTTCAGAGGGTAAATGCCACTATTCAGGAATGCAGATAAAAATCCATGCAAGTGTTAAATATGGGAAGAAGCCTTCCTGTTCTTCTACTTATATTAAAGACTGTGTAATGTGTCAGCTTCTGATAAGACAAACAAAAATTTTGGACTTTGCAAGCACAGGAATTGGAACTAATCACTTATTTTTTGCAAATTCACAAACATTTTGCATGCACCATTCTAGTCTGGGGTTTTGTTGTTTTGGGTTTTTTTTGTAGGAGGGATAGTAAAAAAGCTAATTAGAATGACAAAGCTATGGGATGAGGTGGTACTTTGCCTACACAGAACATGTAGCACAGTTCTTATAAAACAGTCCTCTGTTACATCCTGTTTTCTGTGTAATAAAGGATTGTACTTGTCTCCACTGAGAGATTTTAAGTAAAGGATTACATTTGTGAATTAATGGAAAATTATTCATCTTTAATTAGTAATGAAGTATCTCAGAACTTGTTTGTACTTCACAATTTATTTCCAGCTATTGTAGACGCAGGCAAAAAAATTATCACTGTGTATTTGATAAATAGGCATCTTCATGGTGCAACACTTAATTTTATCTCTTTATTTTAAAATATTTTCTAAGCTGAAATGTAGAAAGATCAGTTGTTCCCAAGACTATAGAGAGCAGACTAAGAATCAGGTAGTAAGTAAAGAGGAAAGCCCATTCTTTGCAGATGGTCCAGCAAGCCTTTCAAGCGCTTTGGGAAGACCACACACTAACCCATATAACAGTATTGTCCCAGAGTCACACTCAAAAAACTCAAAACACACAAAAAACTCAGCTGATACGAAATTTGGCTGTGGTGACTCTACCTGATTTTCAGGCCATAGGTTTCCCAACCCCATTACAGTGCAATTACTTGAGCTCTCAATATCAAATTAAATCTGCTTTCAGGATAACAACAAAAAAATCACCTGCAGAAGCTTACCTTGTGGGAGTTAATCCCTGAAGGTTTACATTAACACTTCCACCAGTATAGGGATTGCAGGAGAGAAAGTTGTAGAAGGGTATTTCACAAATACCGTTTCCTCACTGGAAAAGGAAATAAAAAATACTGTGCATACACAGACAAGCCATGACAGTTTTTCCTGTTGGAATAGTTTTTGTATGCTGTAAAAGGCTTGCTCCTCAGTCCTGAGTTTTCATTCCTGGGGGTAATTTTAGTTCCTGAGGAATTGGTAGGCAGCCTGATTTACAGTATTTACAACATTTAACTGTTCTCAGGAGAACCAGGGTGGCCTTGAAGACACCTGACACCACTGAACCTGGTAGCATCTGCTCTTTTGGAAATCCTGTTTCTCAAACTTGTATGCAAGTTCTCTGATAACATAGATCTTGGGCCAAATATGGCTGGGGCTAAATATGGTACACATACTAAGCCTCTCCATGGACCACTCTAAAGATTAATGTGTTCAGAGGCACAAAAAAACATATTTTTGGGGATCTTTTCAAGAGCACTTCTAAGTGCAGCAAAATCTTTTGAGTGCCCTTTTTCAGTTGGGTCTCTGTAAGTAATTGTGTGAAGTTTGTCTGCTTGAGATTCTATCCTAGCTTTAGAGGGTTTTGTTCTGCACAAGGTGCAGATGCATCTTTGTACATTTATATTTTCATAATAGTCAGAGTTATGTAGCTCAGAATAATCTAGCCACTGCTTTTTCCTTGCTAAATCAACTCCTGAGCACTTCAGAAAACACACTGGTAGATAGCACACACCTTCGAGCTCACAAATAACCAAGTTTTACTAAAATTTTACAGAGGAGTAGGCAGGCACAGTATAAATCTTTGCAGGGACTAAAACTTTCAACTTTTTCTTTAAATCGTCACTCCACACTTGATAATTTTCCAAATTACAAGTTCAGTGAAGGGATATCCTCAAACCCAGCATTCAACACCCACAAAAACCAACAGAAAAAAAAGGGGATTGTGAGTCTACGTTTCTACGTTTTCAGTATTGAAAGAAAAAAAACATCAAGAACAGAAGTTCATGATAGCACAGAACAAATAGCTTTACACGACAAAAGAACAGAAAGTCACCCAGAAATAAACTGATCATACACATGTTTAGACAAACTAATAACACTAAAGCAAACAAATCCATACTGGATTAGGAGCAGGCAGATTGCTGAACATTCATTTCATGCATTTAAAACCTGATCAAAAGTAACTGCATGTACTCCAATCTTTATGTCTCTTTCACAGAAGGCGTCCACCCTGGCATGAGGACTAAAGATCACCACCCACCTAATTAATTGCTCCTAAAATGCATCCAAAATATCAGAAGGTTTGAAAGTGAGAGAGAATGACCAATATTTTACACATGAGCAAAAGTGCTGACCATAAAAAGCAGAGTTTTCCAGAGTTCTTCCAGGGTAACATTTAGGGAATACATGATTACAGTACATTTTAAAGTCATTTGTCTTCTCCTAGTGGCAGGGCATATTCTTAAAGTTACTATAGCCTAGATTTAATATCTAACAGTAAATCCTCATAGCCATTCCGGTAGCAGTTTCTTTGTAAATTATTGCAGCAGTCCAGCCATACAGGATATATTTTGATGCTTGTGTTAACAGGATCACCATGTAATGTAAGAAGTGCCAGAATACATGCTGCTAACATTTTTCACATGTCTATGATTAGTCCCCTTCTTAATTTAGCTGTGCCTCTTTTAACCCTACTGCAACTAACCAGTAGCAAGATGGATGGAGCCAGCCAACATCTACCTGCCACACTACCTGTTCAGCACCTCAAAACCTATATTCCAATTGCTATTTCAATTCTTCCTTTTGAATGCGATTTGCTTTTGAGTTATTGCCCTGAAATCCAGCTGGGAAGTGGAAAGGCTGCCTGGTTGCCAGCAGACTTCTCAGCTGACTAGATCCTTGGCTGTCCCCACACACTACATTACAGTGATGTGTTACGTCATTTATTTCACTTCATGCTATTCCAGTTACCAACTGCTAATCCTGTGATTAGACAAAATTACGGACTTGCAGCTAAATTCACCTTTTAAAATAAGCAATTCCCAATTCAAATATAGCTAACCACCCCAATTATTAGAAGCTATGACATGCAATGCCAAGACAGGTCTACAGATTCTGTGACAGAAAATGTCTACAGAGTCTACGGTAAAAAACAAAGACAAATTTCTTTAATATTACAATTTGTACAATAAATATTTAGTTATTTAAATCACAGCAATAAAACCTGGTCTTTATAGAAATAAAACAATTTGAAAGTTTGACATGAAATGCCATTTTCATCTCTCCAAAGGTCAACCTGAGTTTTGCTCAGTGGGAGGAAGACTTTATTCCAGTTGATCAAAAATAAAGAGGAAGAGAAAGAAATCTTGCACATTTTCTCACAAAACAGGAATTCTTCCAAATTGCATTTGCTAAGTGTTTGCAACCAAACAGCTCTTTCCATTACAAACACATGTCAACATAAACCGTACAGCACACCAAGGGACTGCCTCCAATCTGTTCATGTCACATAACAAATACAGGAGGCCCAATTCTAACCAAAGCAGCACGTGTGTCTTAAAGAGTAACTTACCAAAAAAGGAGGTACAGAGAGATGAAGTCTATTCATGTGAATGCTAAGCCCTGCTCTTTTCCCTTCAGTATTTTAGAAACCGCCAAACAATTATTATTTCAATTCCAACATCTACTCCTTTCAATAAATATTAATTTTGCTTCAGAGTCTTATTTTTTTTTAACAGCTCATGTAATGAGTTTCACGTGGTTAGCTCCCCCCCACCTTATTTTAACCCACAAACATCAGCAATAATGTAAACACAACCTGCAGTCTCTGGAAATAGCGTATCTAATTTTGGTTGAAGGTATCAGCCAAGTATAGGACTTGCAATAGTGGGTTTCAATCTGACAGCCCCTAGACTTATTCAGTGCAGTCCCTGAAAGTTCACTAAAAAAAGCAAGTTCATATATGTTACCCTGCAAAATACGGGTGGGCAAAATTCCAGAAGAAAGTTTTTAGGGCTTGAAAAATAATTTAAAAAATGGTGTAAAAACACTGTGTTGGAGTTTTTGCAGAATCACAGAATGATAAGAGTTGGAAGGGAACTCTAGAGATTATCTAATCCAACTCCCCTGCCAGAGCAGGTTCACCTAGAGCATATTGCATAGGATGGTGTCCAGGCAGATTCTTTGGAATTAATGGCTCTTTATAATACAGAATATTGCAGTGCCCTTAAAACAACTATTTAAATCTGAAGAGGTATTCCCTTCTATAATGCAACTGTATTAAGGATCATTCTTTATAAACTGACTTTACTATTTGAAGTAATACCTATGTTTGCTGCTGTGTATAAACAAAGAGTTCAAACTAGCTACGCTTGTATCCTCAGACACATTTAGTTTTGATGAGACAATATGCTTGCCAGCCGATCAAATCCAATTCTTTTACATTTGGCTCAAGGATTTATCCTAACCTACCACACACTGTGCTTTTGTTTTTGTATAAATAGTTCATGTGTCTAGACACAATATTACATGTTTATGCAAAACTGTATGTTTAATACTTTATGCAGATGATTAAATTTCAGCTTCACTATCATAATGCACAACACTTTGTTCTCCACATTAGGACACCCAAAACTTTTTCAGTTCATTTAATTCTCCAGTTTTCCTCAAAGGAATCAGGAGCATCACTGTGTTTATATAAGCTGTCCAAATCTTAGTTTTGTTATGAATTAATGAAATTCCATTATCAGGCAAAGACAGGCCCAGCATGTTTTCATGATGGCTTCAAGCACCAATTATCTGGGATTTTCCAGTAACCAACCTGAACTTCAAGCTAAAACTGGGATTCCCAGAGAAAGAATACTATCACAGGCTGGGGAAATCCCCCAGAATTGTCATCTTTGTCCATGTGAGGTCTAATTTTCCAGACACTGTGCATGCTGCTGGACATAGCAGAATTCAGACGACACTCACATGTGCTGTCAAGGCCATGGACACTGTGTGTCTCAAACCTAGCCTCAAACCCGAGATTTCACTGAACTCATATATTCTGGTTAGAACATGGAAAATAACTTCCTTGAAAAAGATGAACATTTAAGACCCCCAAAAAAGTCATTAAATGAATATACACTTCTAATTTTTATTCTGTATCCAGCATGTTACACTTGTTAGATACATTCCCTCTCTTTACGCATTACACAAAGAAACCGTAAGATTTTTCCCAGTTGGATGAAATAAATGTTTCCATTATTTTAATTTTTCCCTCTTCCCAGAAACCCTATAATCAATTCTAGAATTGGTTCTGTCATAAAACAGCATGTACTAGCTGTGTTCCTTGAAGAAATAAAGAAGTTGTTTAGCCTTCTGCCTGAGGAAAGTCACGGTGTGCTTCGATACACAAAGGTCTATCAAAGGTGTATCAAAGCCATTTCTCATGAAAAAGGGTGAATCTCAAAGACTGAAATGAGCCCTCAATGCAGAACATACCAAGCTGTTCTTTATAGTCAAAGTGTGGGCACTGCAAGTCCAAATCAGACCAGGGCATTTCTTCACAACTCAAGTTTGTCAAATGCTTTGCTGAGAAGTTTGAGGACATCTTTGCTTTATGATAAGCCAGTTTAGGGAATGGCCAAAGCACAGAAGCCTTATTTCAATTTGTCAGCAGACAACGGACCGATTGCCCCAAAAAAACTGTCTGGAAACAGGGACTAACCTCCTCTTTCTGCAGGCTTTGTTTTCTAGCAGGACGATGCACTCCCAAGACCAGGTACAGTAGGTGCCTGGAACCTTCTCTCAATAACCACTCCAAGCTTTAGATATCATGAGTCCATCTTCCAGAAAATTATGGGACTAGCTTTAAAATAAACACATTTTAACCAAACTTTTCAATATGCTTTTCAAGCCCTACAGTTTGTATTCCCAAGTCTTTCGAATAGTCACATTGTCTACAAGCTTTCATTAGTATTGCTAGTCAATTTAATTTTAGTTCTCAAACATGCAGCAATGTGAAATTATAAGAAAAAACTTCTGATGATTAAATCACAATAGTTGGCC